CAGCTTGAGAAATGCTGAGAATGTTCTTCCTTATTGGTTTTCTAACTCCAGATCCATTGCACATTTTGTTGTAATATATAACAAACACATATGTTTGTATGTATATATATTTGTTATTCAGTGCCACCCAGTTAGTTCTAACCCATAACGACCCCGTAGAGGGTTTCCAAGGAGCGAATGGCGGCTGATGAGCTTGAACCACCAACCTTACAGTTCAAATCGACTTGGCAGTCTAGTGCATTAACCTACAGCGTCACACCAGGACTCATACACATATGGTACTGTTGTTGCTAAGTGTCTTTGAGTTGGAAGTAAAAGATGATGGATTTTTTTTCCATGTGCTTTTTGAAGCCTCGTAAAAATAAATCTGAAAACTACGAAGAGCCCCTACATCAACGATGCTCTCAAAACGAAATATTAGAAGGTTTTCATAAAATTCATGGAAAAATGGCATCCAGATAGTGGAATTTTCCCATAAACTTATGATGATTCCATTTAAATGAAACTCCAGAACAAAAGTGCTGTCACTTCTAGTGAAATACCAACTGACGGGGGCTTGGGTGGGTAGCATCTGGGACCTTGAAAGGCCATGAGCAGTCATCCAAGGTGCAGCTCTTGGTGTCTCCATGTGCAGAAGAAAGAATGACAAGACTTAAAGATGCTTCGAATCAATTAGTCCAATGGACACGTGAACATCAGTGTCCACAACTCTGAGCCCAGAAGAACTAGACGGTGTCCAGCCATGACTACCAACTGCTCTGAGAGGTATCACATTAGCAGGTCTGGGATAGAGTGAGAGAAAGTGTTCAAAATATGAAAAAACCAAATCGTATTAATGATTAGTTGTTAGGATGATAAGACTGCATAAATTTACATATCAATAGAAACATCCACAAAACAAATTACTCTTGCTTCTGATCACCCACAGTGCTGTTTCTAAAACGCTATATTCCAGTTACACATTCTTGGCAGACCCCAAACACAGTCACTGAATCATTCCTTTGGAGGTTCATGTCTTTACTCAGTCACTCTGGGCAGCACACTACACAGATGCATATTCATTCCTACACACACCACCTCCAACTTCAGTTTCATATTGTTCCTAATGTTGAGTGATTCTGTTTAGAATGGGCAGCCCTGAGGGGTTTCTAGGCTGTCAACTTTACAGGAGAAGTTCGCCAGGCCCTTCTGTGGATGAACTGGGTGGGTTCCAACTGCTGACCTTTAGGCTAGCAGCAGCACTTAACCATGGTACCACCAGGCCTCCTTAGAAAACTATCAAGGGCCTACATATCTACTGGAGTCCTGGTGGAGGATAAGCACTGGACTGCTAACCTCAAGGTCAGCAATTCAAACCCATCGTCCACTCCTCAGAAAATCTATACACGGGGATTTCTAGGTTGTCACCACTGTTAGGTACCGTCAAGTCGGTTCTGACTCATTGCTACTGTTTCCAAGGAGCAGTTGGTAAGTTTGAGCTGTTGACCTTGTAGTTCAAACCGACCTTGTAGTCCAGTGCTTTATCCCACAGCCCACACCAGCAGCTACTAGATGGGTTCAAACCACCATTTGGATAGCTGCCAAGCACTTACCTGTTGCGTTCCCAGGGCGCCATATAAAACACAATAAAACGTAAAAGAGTATGAAGTCAGAAGCAGTCATCTAGCTGGCGTCCTGCTTGATGAGGTGGGAAGTGTCAGCCAGAAAGGGCACAAGAGTCAGGAGCTCAGGTGGCACGGTAACGGGAGGGAGACTCTGACATCATCGGAGACCAATGGCCATCAACCATGATCCTGACTCATGACAGCCCAGTAGGACCACGCAGAACTTCCCCCACAGTGTTCCCAAAGACTAAATCTCCACGGGAGCAGTCCACCTCAGCTAGCTTTCTCCCTCTGAGCAGCGGTGAGTTTGGAGAGCCGCCCTTGTGGTTGGCAGCCCAACGCTCAGCCCACCATACCATCAGGGCTCCTAAATAACCACGGGACACTACTCTAGATGCCAGATATTCCAAATCAACAGCCTGCTTCCCGTTTAGAGTGCAAGGCGTTTCGAGGACCGTACTGAATAGGGGCCCTCCTTAGGACTCACCAGTGACGTGCTGGTAGCGAGTGCGTCCCAGCATAGAATGCATGGCATGCCCCATCTCATGGAAAAGGTTCTCCATCATCCCGGGTGTTAGCAAGGTGGGCGAGCTCCTGGATGACTTGGGAAGACTCAGCATGAGGACCACGACAGGGAGCTGGTAGACGCCGTCCTCCTTTAACCGGCCTCCTCGGATGGTAAAATGGCAATCCTGGTGCCACCAGGAAACAGAACAGGGGAGAAGAGTGCTAAGTCATATAGGAGGTAAAATTGTTTCCGCGAGCACACGGTTATACCAGTGATGGACTTTCATTCTATACTTCTCCTATTACTTTAGCTGCAGGTTCTTTTTCCCTGAAGCTTTCTGCCTTGCTGACATTTTCATTGTTTAAAGCACCAGTAATGCTGCAGTCTGCTCACGTTAGCTGCATTAAGCTACTGTGGTACCTGGAAATGCAGCCATCAGAGAGCTGAGAAAGTCAGATTCTCACTTCACTAGTGGAAATGTTTACACCGTAGCATCGATTTTCCCACTTCCTCTCTGTTTCCTGTTTCCATTCCTCCTCCCTTCCTTGGGGAAAGGCCTCCCTTTTTCATTGGTGGCTTGTACCAAGGAGTGCATACCTCCCTGGCGTTATTCCTGTTAGGGACTTATCTATTGTTTGCCTGCAGAGTGAGCCATGGGGGGTGAGCTCAGTGCCGGTCCTGAACTGACTAACGGCCATCATCTCAGGTTCCACCAGTCTCGATCTGACCAGTAAGCCTGGGCACGCCGACTGTCGTTATCACTGGGACGTGACGGGCTCTGAAGGATGGTGCTCAGTGACAGGAGACATGACCTTGCTGAGTCCTCACGGGCACTAGCCTGGTGTCATTTTCCAGAGAAGGCTAGAAGTGAGTCTTGGAAATGTTGAGTACTTTGTTCATGCCCAACAGCTCCAACTGCTGCATCCAACACCTGAGTCCAAGTGGACTGACGGACCCCGAGGCACATGGCCTGTGTTCCTAGCACCCACTGTCCAGATCACAGCAGAAAGCTGGCCATCCTGAGCCTCGTCTTTAGAACTCTCCCTTGTAAGACCCGCAGGGTATTTGGGGAAACAGAACAAGCTCATGTCAGGTAAGATGCTTTGAAAATTGTAACTCACTATTCCTGGTGTGGCGCTGTAGGATCAGCACTGGTGTGCGAACCATAGAGTCAGCAGTTCAAACCCACCAGCTGATCTTTGGGAACCCCATACAGGGTCGCCATGAGTCAGCACTTAACAAGAACAATTCCAGCAAACACCAAATCCCTAACTAAAACCCAGTGTCACTAAGCCAATTCCAACTCATAGTGACCCCACAGGGCAGAGGAAAACTGCCCCCAAGGGTTCCCAAGGGTATAAAACTGGACAGAAACAGACAGCTCATCTCCCATGGAGCAGGTGGTGGGTTTAAACTGCTGACATTGTGATTAGCAGCCAGGTGCTTAACCACTGTACCACCAGGGTCCCTCACTCCAACATGAAGTACATCCAACAATGGTGTTATTTATCACCTTCACACTTAGCATTTCCCACCAGGCTGCAAGCAAGCTACTGCTGAAGCTGACAGACATGAAACTGACAGACATGAAGCTGACAGACATGAATGCTACCAATTCCACATAAGAACATCCCAACCCCAAAGCCAAGTCCACAGCCATCGAGTCGATTCCAGCTCGTGGAGACCCCGGTAGTGTTTCGGGGGCTCTGAGTCTTTTACAGAAGAGCAGCTTGTGAGTTTGAATCACTGACCGTGCGGTGAGCAGTCTGGTGCTCACGCTGCAGCGCCACCAGGTTCCTTAGGAAGAACATTGGTGGCAGATACGCTGGTTTTCATGTGTTCAAATCCCCTGCAAGCTAACACGAGACTCGCTGTCTACTGGGGAAGGAGCTCAGAGTTGGAGCTCCAGTCAGAGGCTGGAGTTCTAATCTTTGTACTCATAGCTCTGTGACTCTGGGTAGGGAGCTGGTCTTTTTCCTGCCTTGTATCCTCATAACCATGGTCATGAGTTCAAAACCAATCAAGTGCTTGAAGTGCTCAGGTACTGGCAGACATGTAAAGGAGCCATAAACTTATCAGCTACTGTTATTAACAACAACAACATCGCTATTACTGTCAGTTTAACAAAGGCCCAGATAAAAGTAGCAGATATACAGTCACGTAATTATCTTCATAAACTTTATTTTTTAAATTGACCCTAATTTCAAATTTATGTAGGGCCATCGGGTCTGACTCGTAGCGATCCCGCATAGGGTTTCTAAGCCTCTAAAGGAGCAAAAACCTCATCTTTCTCCTGAAGAGTGACTGGTGGGTTTGAACTTCTGACCTTGCGGTTAGCAGTCCAGTGCTTATCCACGAGGGCCCCTCAACTATAACAAATGTTACTTAAGTATCACGGGACTACACAAATAAAGAGATCGGTTTATAAAATCACCTGATGTGGTTTATCAGCACGCTGAAAAAAATCACAGTAGATGTATCCCAACAATCCTTCAGTTTCATGAACCACAGCCTAAAGGGGGGAAAAAATTATAGTTACGGGTTGACAGGTTCATCAGAAACTCTAAAACAGTGTTAAAAACATCCTCACACATACACACACTCAAACACACACACCTACATATAAAACACCATAGCCACACACGAGAAGGTATCAAAGACTTTGTGGAAAACAATATTAAAAGATAACAGAATTTTTCCATGAACTTTTTGAGGTCTCTGTCGTGTATGGACAATTTATTTTTGACATCCAATATTGTCTCAAAGGAGCCCTGGTGCACTCTAGGATAAGCACAGAACTGCTAATCACAAGGATGGCAGCTGAAAGCCACGAGAGGTTCCCCGCAGGAGAGATGAGTTTGAAGATTTACAGCCTCAAAAACACTGTAAATAGGCTGTGAATATAGACAGGGTCGCTGTAAGTCAGAATAGACTTGATGGCAGTGGGTTTTGGTAAAATTGTCCCAAACAGACCCGCTTATTCCTACATCTCCGCGAGCTCCATTTCTCCAGTGATTTTTACTTGGGAACGCTATGTTGTTGTTAAGTGTTATAGAATCAGTTCCGTCTCATAGCGACCCTGTATAGGGTTTCCAAGGAGTGGCTGGTGAGCTTGAACCACCAACCTTGTGGTTCAAACCGACTTTTAGGTGGAGTGCTTTATCCCATAGTGCCATACCAGGGAACACTGTGTACAAGTTGGGAAATCCTCTTGCTAGGGCCTCTGACTGGCGTTAATACTGCTACCAAACACAGGGAGTCACAGGCTACTCACAAATGAGCCCAAGGGAGTCAGGACTAAGTGCTAGCTGAAAGAATTTCAGTGGCAAAATGTTTTTTTCCTTCAAATGGAAGAATGCTTGTGCAAATTTTAACTTTTCAATTTGAGACCAACAAAAGGGAGCTTCCAGTTTCAGGTAAAAATCGGCAACATCATCATTTATGCTGGTCTCCGAACACCCACTGCCGCTAAACCCATTCCGACGCAAAGTAGCCCTTTAGGCCAGGGAAGAACTGACCCTCAGAGTTCCCAAGGACGTCTTCTCGACCGAAGCCTGTCATTCTCCTGCAGAGTGGCTGGGGGCTTGGCAGCAGCCCAGAGCTTTAACCACGGTGCCAAAACAAAAAACCAAACTCCGCCCACCCTCATCAAGTCGATTCTGATGGTGATGCTGCCCATAGTTTTTGAAATTGTCAATCTTGACAGGGGCAGACAACCTCATCTTTCACTTGCAGAGTGGCTGGTGGGTTTGAACCGCTGACCTGCTGGTTAGCAGCTGAATGCTTTAACCACCATACCATTAGAGCGCCTGTCTCCAACAGGCGTAACCTCTGGGTGAAATATAATGCACTGAAATGTCCCCCCATTCTAGTTCTCCTTCAATTCCATATTCCATGCTCACAAAATAAAGTGACCACATGGTAGTTTTTTGAAATGTAATTAGAAGAAAAAAAAAAACAAAAAACTACTAAGTATATACATAATAGCTAAGCACCAGCCACATCCCACAGCCTGAGGAACGAGCAGACAGGTGAATAAATCCTCAAATATCTTACTCACTGCTACGGACTCCACTCTGATTCCTGTATAGGGTTTCTGAGGCTGAACATCTTTACGGGGGGCAGACAGCCTCCTCTTTCTCCTGCAGGACCGCTGGTAGGTTTGAACCATCGACCTTAAAGTTAGCAGCCCAATGCTTAACCCACAGTGCCAGCAGGGCTCCTTTCAGCTAACCAGGGCAAAAATAAAAACGTTTGCTCCTCAAATAAAGTGGGCGCTAACAGAAAGAAAAAGCGAGTCTGTAAGCTCAAAATAACAAGGAGTCCCAGAAATCAGAACGCAGGATAGGAATTCATTACCTGATGCAAAAAATGCTCTCCTACAAGTTGGGAAGGTGGTACAGAGAAAGGAACGGTGGCCAATGCAGCGGGTTCTGGCATTTTCCAAAAACGACATGCAGCTAAAGTTCACAAACGCACGCAGAGGCCTAAGTGAAGAGCCCACCTCCTACCAAGTTCCTCATTTTTTGGGATTTTTTTGAGAGAAAGACTGCAACTGTGGTCATATGGTGACGTTATTTTCAGGTACCAAATGATTTAAAATAAAAGGTTTCTTTATATGGTGCCCTAACTCAGATATTTGATTAAATGGGCAGAGCTAAGCTAAAAATAGGGATGCTACTAACTCAGGTGACCCCACACCAAAGGTCAACGCCGTGTGCCGTTGGCAGACCGGATGCTCACCAGTTTGCGGACATCTTCGCACCACACCTCGCCTTTGGCCGGCTGCTCGGCATACAAGGAAATGCCTAAGAGCTGGTTAAACAGGAGATTCAGGCCTTCCATGCACGCGCCCAAGGAGAAGAAGGGGCAATATAGACTGGGCTCGATGTTATACCTACGACAAGGAAAAGAGGCACAAAAGGCACGCTTGCTCACTTAGATTTCTGACGGTGACCCCACTTTAATTTTCATTTAACATTTAAGATCACAGGAGCTCAAGAAGAGAATTCAAGACATCAAAGGTATGTCTCTGTACTTTGGGGGATTTTCTGGTTCTGTTTTCTTCACAAGAGACACAGGCTAACCGTGACCAGTACCAACACCCGCTCCATAGGCCAGGCTGTTAGGTGACAGGAAAGATGGCTCACCCACATCTTCAGCGCCAGCATCCTCCATGGCCACCCCTGAGCCCCTCCTTCCCATCAGGTGCTCCCAGCACATCCCACCACCACAGAGCCTGGTCACAGTGGTGCTCAGGGGGCCTGCGGGTCCCCGACTACACTCCAGGTCCCTGCACTTTGCCTCTCCACCTTCCGGCTCCAATGGCCCTGGACACTGGCTGGAAGGTGGCAGAGAGGCCTCAGAGGAAGAAGCAACTTTGGAGCGCCCCCCCAGCTCCTGTCTCCTGTGGACTCAGCCATCCCAGCCCCCTGTGTACAACCTACCCACCTGCACCACATGCACTGTGGACCCTGCCCGGCTCCTCCACCAACCTAGGTAATGCATATAAACCACTTCGCTTAGTCTCACAAGTCTCCCCCTGTTGCCTTGGCACTTCAGTAACATACACAAATAGCACATTTCTAATGGCTGTTGTCATGTGAAATGTTGGATAATGAGACAGTCGTTAACTGAGGAGGGAGGTGAATCTTAGTCAATAAGTGTCCCTCAGTGTTTTTAATACTTGTGTGACATGAGGCACCATTTTTCAGAAACACACACCATTTCCTACAGGGAGGTCTATCAGTTGTACCTAGAACTGATTTAGTTACATTTTGGATATAATATGGTTACATTTTGGATATAATATGTGTACAACATTTTGGTTACATTTTGGATATAATTTGGTTACATTTTGGATATAATATGTGTACAATTTGGTTACATTTTGGATATACTATGTGTACAACAACTTGAATGCTGCTATTAATTGAGACCAACTGCCTGATTGGGCCAGTGAAGGAGTCAGTAGCCTCAGAGGGCTTGAATCTAAGGAGTGGAGATGCGGGCTGACAAGGTTAAGAGCTGAAATCGTGTAGTCAGGGGTGGAATAGAAGGCCGGGAAGACCGGGAGGAGCTATTACATGTACCTTACCTGCAGCTGTCGCATTGGTGTCGATTCTAAGTGACCCTATACGACAGAGTATACTGTCCTGGCGGGTTCCCAAGGCCATCGTCTTTACAGAAGCAGACTGGCCCATCTTTCTCCCTCAGGGCATCTGGTAGGCTCCAACTGCCAACCATACAGCTAGCAGTTCAGCACTTACCCCACCGTGTCACCAGAGTTCCTTATGCTGCATTTGGGTTTACCAGCTTTCAAGGAACGAAATGGTAGAAGTACAATTAGGCCTTTTTTTTCTCTTAAATTAAGAATAGAATTAAGAGCAGTCTCATAAAACCTTCAAGAACACAAACCCTCATCGAAAGCTGCACAGAATTAACAGTCAAGAGATTCTCAACTTCAGAATTCTCTTGTGTCATCTCAAATTAAAAAACAAAAAACCCACTACCATTTCATTTGTGAACCACACGCTTCATGAATCAGGTAATATTTCAACACTGATGGATCTGGAGTTAAAGCACAGAAAGAACTTAGAAATTCGCTCCAGGAATCTCGGCCTGGAATGGGGTGGAAATTCACCGCACAGTGAAGTAGTCAGGTACACAGCCTCCCTGCAGACAATGCAGAGAGTGAACAGGATTAAGGGAGAACATTGGCACCCAAAGGCAAATGTTTACAGAGGCCTGAGGGCGTGTGGGGATGAAGAGGTTCCCAGACAGGAGAGAGTGCTTGGCCTCACCGTTGGAGACACGATCATTAAAGTTATCAAAAGAAAATGAAATAGAAAACTTCAAGGTACTGGGAAGGATTGTCTACGCATGTTAGAATGTTATAGTTGGCTAGCATTCTGAAATGTGTGGTCTTAAAAGCCGCTGAGAGCTTTTGTTTTGCTGGTGAAGCAAAGGTAGGATAGCAAGTAAAAGAGCTGAATGGTACTGGAAAACTGTTTCATTACCTTTCAGGTAATGATGTGGTCAGGTGCTCTGGAATCAGTTTCGTGCCCTGTGGACAACAGAAAGACACACCGCCCGGTCCTGTGCCACCCTCACCATCATTTGTAGGTTTGAGCCTATGAGTGCATCCACTGTGCCAATCCATGTCCTCGGGGGTCTTCCTCTTTTCTCCAGCACTCTACTTTTCCAAGCATGATGTCCTTCTCCAGGGACTGGTCCCTCCTGGTAACATGTCTAAAGCATATATGATAGAGTCTTAACCATGCTTGCCTTTAGGAAGCATTCTGGCTGCTCTTCTTCCAACACATATTTCTTGGTTGTTTGAGTGTTGTGACTGTTGTCCTTAAGTGCCGTCATGTTGGTTCCAACTCATAGTAATCCTGTAGAGGGTTTCCAAGGAGCAGCTGGTGGGTTTGAACTGCCGACCTTGTGGTCTGCAGTCTAGTGGTAGATTTAATATTCTTCATCAACCCCGTAATTTATAGGCATCACTTTTTCTTCAGTCTTCCTTAGTCACTGTCCAGCTTTCACTGCCTATGAAGTGACTGAAAATACCATGGCTTAGGTCAGGTGTACCTTATCTTCAAAGCGACAGCTTTGCTCTTTAAACTGTAAAGAGGTCTTTTGCAGCAGATTTATCCACTGCAGTAATACAGCGTTTGATTTCCTGACTGCTGCTTCCATGAGTATTTGTAGATCCAAGTAAAATAAAGTAAAACCCTTGACCACGTCAATCTTCTCTGTTTCTTGTGACGCTGTATATTGTTCCAGGGGTGAGAATTTTGTTTTCTTTGTGTATGTGTCCCGGTGTAACTGTGGGCTAGGCATTCGCTTGCTAACTCCAAGGTCAGTGGTTCAGACTCACCAGCGATTCCTCAGAAGAAAGATGAGACTGTCGGCTGCAGAAGAGATTTACCAGAAACCCCAGAAAGTGTCGCCGTGAGTTGGGATCAACTCGCTGGCAGTGGGTTATGTATGCTGAAGTAGACTACATACTGAAGACTGAACTCTCCATCAGTAAGGACTTCAAGTTCCCTTTACAAGCAAGGCTGAGCCATCAGTAATCACACGTTGCTCATGAGTCTTCCTCCGATCCTGCTGCCATGTTCTTCTTCCTGCAGTCCAGCTTCTCCGAATGTTTGCTCAGCATACAGACTGGATACGTACAATGAAAGAATACAACCTGACACACATCTTTCCTGATTTTAAACCATCCAGTGTCCCGTTGCTCGATGTGCATGACTACCTCTTGGTCTGTGTTTAGGTTCAGGATGAGCACAATTAAGTGCCTTGGAGTTCCCATTCTTTGTAACGAACGGTATCCACAATTTGTTATGATCCACCAAGTCACACGCTTTACATAGTCAACGAAACACAGGTAAACATCTTTTTGGTACTGTCTACTTTCAGTAAAGACTCATCTGACATCAGCAATGATATCCCTCATTTCACGTCCTCTTCTGAATCCCAGGTTTACATATTGTTGTTGCTGTGTGCGGTTGAGTTGGTTCTGTCTGTATAGGGTTTTTGGGAGCGGCTGGTGGGTTTGAACGGCTGACCCGCCCTACCGTGCCACACGCTAAGGCTCTGGGTATATAGAGTCCTAAAAACTAAGCAGGTTTTCCTTTGCCTCTCTGTTTCATAAGACATCAGCCATTACCACTGTGGAGTTGTGACTCATCTAATGTCTCTTCTAGCCACAGTCTGTCACGCCCACCAAACAACATTTCTATCCAGCTGAGTCTGGGTAAGAGAAGGTGGGAGAAGACACTGATAGGGTGACAGGATTCAGCAATGGATGTCAGCAGAGTTAGCCATAATTGCAAAACCTTGAAACGCTAGCATGGGTCTGAAATGAGCCATCTCAGCAGTAGGAATGGGATCTGACTACCATCAATGAGGAAGAGCCAAGACTGGAGCGCATCTGGTGGCCCCTGAGATCCCTGTGCACTGAGCCTCCTGCCCCCAGGGACAGAAAGCTAGGCCACTGAAGGAGCGGCAGAGGAGCAGGACCAAGAACCGAAGCACGAAACAGAGCCGCGACCTTCCCAGCCCGTGGAGTAAGTACAGCTGACTGACTGGGCAGGAAGTTTGTGTGTAGAGTGTGGTGTCCCTGGGCAATGAGGTAGACCCACGGAGCCAGAGTCAGGTGCCTTCAGGCTGTGGCTTAGGGTGGAGTGGTGTGTCCTGTGGGCACTGGTCCTGTGGACACTGGTCAGCAGCCCCCAAAGAGCTTAGTAGCATCATCTGGGCAAAGCGAGGCCTCCCTGGGGCCTGACTGAGGAAAGACTGTCCTGACTGGAATCACTCGGTCCTGAGCACTTTCTAATCCTGAATTGTCACCATTAACTTCCTAGGAAGCCCCGTAACTGTGAGTGTGGCTGCCGTAATAGATTTTCGCACGCAACAGGAACAGAGGGCACCCTGGGAGGGATGGTTGGCATCTTCGCATTTGTAGCAGGACACTCACCTCTCTGCGCGGAGCACACCGCTGTAGTAGGGGGGATCCCAGGGCATTAATTCCTACAATGGGAGAGTCCACGGTTAGGAAGGTGATCAGCTGTCTCATAATTCTTACCAATAAGTTAGCCAGTCTACAAAATGGAAACCTATTACAGGATCAGAAAAATGGTACAGAATCTTTACATGTTACATACAAACACCTCCCGGTAAGCCCAGGGGCATGTTGGTGACATAAATAAGACACAGCCATCTGGTTTAGAGGAAAAGGGAAAACAATTGTGACTCTGAAACATAAAGGAATGAAAATCAACATTAATGGATTAGTCGTTGAAATTTCCCCCAAAATGTAGCTCATAGATTAAGCCATGAAACCTATTACCGGTAGGATAAAGGGACTAGAAGGAAGATTAAGCTTCTTTCTAAACCTAAGCAAAAGGCTTAGGGCGGATTCCCCAAATAACAGCATCAGTTTAAAATGTAACAAAGGCAAAATTAACTCTAATCTGGGCAGAGAAAACATGTCATCATCTGTATGATTTTGACAACAGGTACAGAATACTGAAAGAAAGGGCAGTTTAAGTTCCTGAACTCATCAACAACAAAACCCCCAAACCCATCACTGTGGAATCGACTCAGATCCATTACAGCCCTATAGGACAGAGGAGAATTCCCCACAAGGTTCTCAAGGCTGTAAATCTTTACACAAGCAGGCAGCCTCATCTGTTCCCCAAAGAGGGGCTGGTGGATTTGAACTGCCAACCTTCTGGTTAGCTGCCTACTGCTTAACCACAGTGCCACCAGGTCTCCTTCTGCCTATAATCCTCTCCTCCAGGTGACAGAAGAGTTGAGAGTTCAGGTTGTGAGGTCAGGTTGTCTGGGTTCAAGTTCAACCGAAACCAGCTATAAAACCTAGACCAGTTCTGTGTGCTCTCCCAGGCTTCCTGGTTTCCTTTCCCAGGATCTGCTCCCACCCGTATACCTGAGCCCACCTCCTGGACTCTCCCCTCACCCACACCACTCGGCCACCCTGGTCTCCTCACTCCTGCCTTCGGCTTTCGGGCCTGCTGCCTCCAGGGCCAGCCCCTCAGTCTCTGCTCAAGCCTCCTCCTTCCCAGATCCACCCAGACACACCAGCACCCCATCATCACCCTTTCTCTTTGTCCCCGGGGGGCACAATGGTTTGTGATCCACTCACTGAGCGGCTGAGGGGTCAAACGCACCAGCAGCGCTGAGGAGGCCAGGGCTAGTGATCTGTTCCCTTAAAGGTTATAGCAAGAAAACCCTATGGATGCCGGGAGCTGGAATTGACTCCGTGGCAGTTTTAGTTTATCACCACTTCTCAGCACAATTCTTTCCTGCAGATACCATCCCCACATCGCACAGTAAATATAGTCACTTTTTTACCTGCTTACTATTTTGGGAGCACAGTGGCTTTGTAGGATAAGCCCTGGACTGTGAACCGCATGGTTGGCGGGTTGAGCCCACCAGCTGCTGCGCAGGCGAAATGCTGCTCCTGCAAAGATTTACAGCCTCACAAACGCTACACGGGGTTGCTGTGAGTCAGAACTGACTTGGCAGCAATGATTTGCTTGCTCCCACTAGGATGTAAGCTCATGAGGCAGGGACTTGTTTGGCACCTTGCCCTATCATGTGCCTGAACAGCAGAGGGTACAAAGCAGTCACTCAGTCTATCTGTAAGTATCCGCTGCTCTCCTTGTGACAGTCCACTCTACAGTTTCAGCCTAGGCACGGTCTCTTCCAACAATGTGTGCTTTTCCTTCTCTTGTGTTTTTATCGCGGGCAGTCCAGCAATGGAAGGTACATGAAGGCTTATCGTCTTCCCTCTAACTAGATCGTGAGTCCCTTCAGAGCACGGACGGCATCCCTGGACTCTGGGTCCTGGGTGCTCATTCCCGGCACACACGTCCTGCACCAGAAGGTGCCTCTACCAGGTGCCAGGCAGTGCGCAGGCTAGAATGACACAAAGGTGAACAAGGCCCAGGCCCTATGTTGAGGAGCTGGTGGTCTAGGCCCAGAGCAAGATGAGTGGGTCAACTCTGGTTGTTGAAATGATTATATATTCCTGAGTGGTTTTGTGTACATTCAAAAAAACAAACAGAGGAAGTAGAAGCAAATACATTGAATGATGTTGCACGGAGGGGATTGTAATCACTGCGGTAAAACGAAATACAATAGGATGAGTGTAAATCCGATGTTTTCCCCTGTAAACTATCACTCAGTTCACAATAAAAACTTAAAAAAAAAAAAAAGTATACAATTCAGTGGTTCTTAGTATATTCATATAAATTGTATCTTGTTAACATTTAATATGTAAGCAAAAGTCTTCCAAATTAATCCCATGTCTGTACACCCGGTGAGAAATTATACAATGTTGCACACCATAACTTACTTATCCATTCATTGAGTTTCCAAATCTTGGCTGTCACAAATGAAGTTAAATGTAGCAAATAAAAAAATAAACAAAAGATGAGTGGGTCAAGAGTCAGAAAACACAAGATTGTGTCTGACGCAGCTGTACTACGTACAACCAAGCCCAGGAGTTGGGCAGTGCAGCCAGGATGGAAAATCAGGACGTCCTTTGGAGGAGAGAACGCCGGGGTGGGTGGGTTTGGCTCACTGAGGAAGGAGAATGGCCTCTGCACCCAGAAGGTGTGGCTGTCTGGAAGCCACCTGTCACAGCAGCTGGCACACCCATGTCTGTCACAGTGGGAGAACCAAAGGAAGCACCGTGAGCAAGAGCCCACGAGCATCACGAGGTAGTGTCCAGAGCACAGATCATGATGCTGACTCGCTTTGGGCAGCAGAAGGGAGCAGGAGGGGCCCGCTCATGAAGGGCTTGGCTGGAGAACCTAACAACCGTAAAGCAACTCTGAGACTCACAGCAGGGCACCATGGGTTAAGTGTGAGGCGCTTACCCAGCGGCCACTCTGCGGAACAAGGCCGAGGCCTCAGTCGGCTTCTGTAGAGATTTACAGCAGTTCTACTCCGTTCCACAGGGTCACTGAGACCACGCTGACCGGTCAGCAGCAGGTTATTAAAGCATTTTAAGCAAAAGAAGGACATGATCGGATGTGCTCTTAAGGCAATTCATTCATCCATTTATTCATTCATGTTCTAAGTGTTGAGTGCTCACAGGAGAACTGGCAATATATATGGCCAGGTGTACCGCTCAGCAGTCTGAAACCATGATGGCTTCAACGGGAGCCCAACCAGGACCAGGAAGCCAGCTCAGCAGCTCTAACTACAGTCTAGGTGGGACGTAACGATGACCCAGACTGCTGGCACTTGTTGAGAACCACGGGTCTGGAATTCGTCCAGGTTCTGGCTGAGGTAAACCATTCACCAAAGACAGAGAAAACATGGCAAGACTGGCATTCCACAAGTATCTGGAGTGTAACCTGAACCGACAGCTAGACAAAAACGTCTCAGGAGGAAAGTTTCAAATCATACTTGTGTTTACAGAATGAATTCTGGCAACACGCTCTATTGTTTCCTGCTTCTGTGTTTATACTAAATTCTCATCTATAAATAGTCTAGCTTCCTAAATGGACCTACCTACCAAGCCAGAGTGCGCAGAGGACAAATACGGAGTACTTTGCTCGGTATTGCTACCATAAGCTAACATGCTAACGTTCTCCTCTGTGATGGCTGAGTCGTCTAAGGTGCCAGGCTCAAGGTGTGTGTCTTGCCTGCAGGCATTCTGGTCTCCAAATGGAGACGTGGGTTTGAATCCCACTTCTCTTTGTTTTAACTACACAAACAAAAGTAGACAAAACAGATGAGTGGGACATACTAAAAATTAAAAACTTATGTGCATCAAAAGACTTCACCAGAAGAGTAAAAAGGGAACCCACAGTATGGGAAAGAAATCTTTTGCAATGACACATCAGACAAGGGACTTATTTCTAAAATATATATGGAACTACAACACCTCTACAAGAAAAAGACAAATAACCCAATTAAAAATGGGCACAGGTCATGAACAGACACTTCACCAAGGAGGAGATCTAGGCAGCCAACACACATATGAAGAAATGTTCACAATCAGTAGCCACTGTTGTTGTTGTTAGGTGTCATTGAGTTGGAACCGACTCATAGCAAAACGAAACACTGCCTGATCCTGGGCCAACCTCACTACCACTGTCACACTTGGGTCCATCAATGTTGCCACCTGGCCA